GCGTCAGCGAGCCTCGCTGATGCGTTGTTCAGTAGTTCACACATAAAGAGCCGCGAGCGCCGAGCACCCGCAGATTTCTTCCTGATCACAGCCCGATCTGTCGGCGAGCTCGTTAACTTCCAAATTGGGCTCAAATCAGGCTTAAAATCCTCTAGTGTGAACTAGGCTTTATATGACATTACACATACACACACACACCATCACACACACACACACCTTCAGCATCACAAACACCACCAGCATCACACACACCACCAGCATCACACTCGCATACACATATATCTTCAGCATCACACACACACACACACATCACACACACACCTTGAGCATCACGCACACACACACTATCAGCATCACACACACCTTCAGCATCACACACACCACCAGCATCACACACACACCTTCAGCATCACACACACACCATCACACACACAGCAATCACACACACCACCAGCAACACACACACATATCTTCAGCATCACACACACACACAGCATCACACACACCACCAGCATCACACACACACACACACACATCTTCAGCATCACACACACACACACACACAGCATCACACACACCTTCAGCATCACACACACCACCAGCATCACACACACCTTCAGCAACACACACACACCTTCAGCATCACACACACACTGTCTGCATCACGCACACACCATTGGCATCACACACACCATCAGCATCACACACACACCAAAAGCATCACACAAACACACACACTCTCAGCAACACACACACAGCACATACTTGCACAAACAAACATGTGTTGTTTATGTCTGTGTTTGCATGTGCGTATACACTTGTGTGTACATCATGCGTGCGCGCGCAGCGTTATCAGCGCTAACAGAATCAAACATCAACAATAAGCTAACACTAATACACAACACTGATGATGATCTGCTGCACACACTGAGCCACACACACACACTGAGCCACACACACACACTGAGCCACACACACACACACACACACACTGAGCCACACACACACTGAGCTACACACACACACACTGAGCCACACACACACACTGAGCCACACACACACACACACTGAGCCACACACACACTGAGCCACACACACACTGAGCCAAACACACACACACACACACTGAGCCACACACACTGTCAGAGAAGTGTTCTGGTGTGTGGAGGGGAATAGTGGCCAGGTGGTGGTGGTGTGGAGCGTGTCAGAACCAAACAATATCGACACGACATGCAGAACGCTCCACCGCGAGCTTCCTCAGCTCTACAACAGTGTGAAGAGGCGAGCATTAGCAGCGGCGCGGCGGCGGCATGGGGACCGGCGGTGAGCAGAAACAGAAGATGTGTATGTGACGAGTGTCTTCTGTTCAGATGATGCGCGTTACTCACATCATTATACAGAGAAACAACAGAGCCCCAGCGCCACGCTCACCTCTCCACACCAAACACCTGATGCTGAAGCTCTGCCGTGTGTTTCTGTGTCCTGTCAGACTGTGCGGGGACCTCTTTACACAGATGCAGCTCCATTTGGTTGATTCCGGATCTCCGGCTGGATCTCCTCTCACTGTCTGGTTAATAGTGATGTTTAACTCGTCTCTTCATCTCTCTAACATCATGTTCCTGACTCTGCTCTGCTCAGTCTGTTCTTGTTCTCAGCTCAGGTGTTTTGGCTGAGCTCAGATCAGTTCTTATATTGATGTGTGTAAGCGTGTTCTGCACATGTTCGCCTGTACGTGTTCGCCTTTATTTCCCATGACGTGTAACCCTATGGAGCGCTGTGCTGTTCTCCTGGCCATTACGGATGATGGACCTGATCTTCAGCAGACGGGCTGTGTGTCGTGTTCTCACCGAGACTGAGCGGAGGCCGTGACGTTATCGGCTGTGTTCTGTTATGAACATGCACACAGTGGAGATGAGGCTCATATTAATCTGCCGCTACGCGACGCCTCCGCATGATCAGTGTCTGTTCAGTTGCTCATGTCAGAATGAGAATAGGCCGCTCCTCACGTCATGTGAAGCAGTGTCGTCTGCAGGGGACGTGATCAGCTCATACACTGCACTGCTCCCTCTGGAGATTTAGCCGACGTGTCCTCTGCTGTTTGTTTTCCATATGGGACTTGTGAAGTGTGAACTGCAGGAGAGGATGCAGGACTGAGCTGTGTGAGGAAAGCCCCAATCAGAGAGCAGAATGTCTGCAGCCCCGCCTCCATGTTCAGATGTCTGTTTCCACACGGACACACAGCAGCAGCGCTGTCAAACTAAAGCGGCCTCCTCAGCGCCTCCAAAACACTCCGTTTTCAGCGCTCCAACACGCCGGCGTAACCGTAGCAGAACTCATGTGCTTTAAAAGTAAACCGTAGTGGTGTAAACATGGCCTGAGAGCGGCTGTGTGGCGTGCTGTACTGGAGAGCTGACCGTCATCAAGAGTTCTTCACCACAGACCTCATCACACTCACTCACTGAAGACCTCCATTATACAGCCCTACAGGAGAGAGTGTGTGCTGCTGGAGGAGCAGGACGGCGCCGTGTCTGTGCTCTGCCCCTTTAAGGCTCCATCAGACGGCAGATGATGCTGTAAAGTGGCTTAAAGAGCAGTAATCTGCCGAGCAGCAGGACCAGTCTAACCAGTGAACAATGAGGACACGAACACATCACCCATCAGCCTGAACTGAACTGATACTGGCCTGATGTCAAGTGAACAGCACTGGCAGAGTCTGAGCTGATGATGGAGCAGAACCCAGAAGAGTAAAGCCACACACACACACACACACACACACACACACACACACACACACACACACACACACACACACACATACAGCAGTTGATATAGCGCTGTGTTCGCAGTATTAGCGCAGTGTGTACACCGGAACTCTTCCTCAGTGCTGTATTTACCCCTGTATAAAGCAGGCTCGTGTGCCGCTTCATCACCGGGCTGTAATCAATGTATGTTTGTCGCATTGAGTGCGTCTGCGCATGCGCAGAAGTTCACACCCATCAGCAGGGCTAGACCTCTCTGTGTGATGTGAAAACTCCCCGTTAACGGGCATTATTACACCGACACGACACGCTCACCGAGCGCTTTACGAAGTACCGTCAAGCTGAAAGTGAACACCGTAAAAGCACACCGACCTTGTACACTTGTCCGTAGGTGCCATTGCCGACCACTTCCACCAGCTCGAAAATGCCAGCCGGGTCCTGAAACACACAGACGGCGGTCGGTCAGTGCGGGAGCAGTGAGATAGGGGCATGATTATGATTAACGTTACGGTTATGGTTATGGATATGATCAGGCTGAGGCCCACGGGAGCGGCCGCGGAGACAAAGGGCCGCGGAACAATAAGCGGGCGCTCCCTGCTGCGCTCCCCGGGCTCCGCGCTCCTCCCGCGGCCACACTCACGCGCAGCGCCGCCAGGTCGATCTCCACCAGGCTCTTCGCGGGAGAGTCGTTCGCCATCTTTCACGCCGTCCGTCGACTAAAACGCGATGCCGTGATTCCTCCGTCCGCTTCAGTCGTTCTGCGCCCGCTCGACGCCGTCGATCATCGTTATTTTCCGCCGATAATCCCGAGAGCAGCGCGGGCCGCAGCGGATCTCTATTGTTCACGGTGACAATGATGATGATGGCGGATGATGAAGCGCACTGAGTCTGGGTCAGTGCTGAGTCTGGGCGGAGCCTATTGTGTGGGCGGAGCCATAAGGAGGACGGGGCGGAGCTCCATCCCACGGCGGACACACAAGTCAGTCCGGTTCGGGGCTCCTCTGGGTCAGCGCGCTGTCCGGAAAAAGATAACAGCGCTCGCGTTTAATAAGCGCACACACACACACACACACACACACACACAACACCGTTTTCAATGTCTCGTTTCAGCGCAAAATTGTCCAAATGACGAGCCACAGGTAGCAGAGCAAACCCAGAGCAGAGTCCAATGCGGGAATCAGACTGCCTGTGCTCCATCATCGGACTCGGTGTTTGAGGGAGTTTGCCATGTCCTCTCTTCACTTCTCCAGCTCCAGCACTGGGGAATCCCGCTTCAAGTCTGTTTAGCCTCTGTCATTAATATAATCATTGTAGTGAGTCTGAGGTCACTCTCTCTCTACACTCATGTGATGTTTCTATTTATTAAAATATTCAACTTTGCCTCTTTTCTAACTCAAAATGAGACTTATAAAGTCTTAATTAGGGTAATTCACATGTTCGGCATCATTGTTAAATATGAAGCTGTTGTTAATTTTAATGAAGACAACACGTGATTTACTCTGATGTGCAGATGGATGAGGATGAGTGCACTCACTAGTGATGATGATGCTGAGCGCAGTGAGGACACTGGGACACCGCTTCCACTGCACACAGTGTACACTAAAATGAGGAGCAGTAGACAGTATAACAATAACACACAAACAAACACACACACACACGCACGTGTCATTTTGGGCGGGGCTATCAGTCATTTAGGGTGTTGCTATCAGTTAGGGCGGGGCCATTCATCCATTAGGGCGGGTCTATCAGTGTGTTGAAATGAATATGCAGATTCCACCTGTACAGGTAGCTCCTCGAGCTTGTCATCATCATCGCCGTATGTACATCACAATAGAGGAAATATGAGAAGCTCAGCTTGCCCCGTGTTGGTGTGGGTTTCCTCCGGGTGCTCCGGCTTCACCCAATCCAAACATGTGCTTTAGGGGAACTGATCAACTGCACTGGTTGTAGTGTGTGAGTGTGTGTGGTTGTTTCCCAGTGATAGGTAGCAGCTGGAAGGGCATCCGCTGCGTAATACATATGCTGGATAAGTTGGCGGTTCATTCCGCTGTGGTGAACCCAGATTAATAGGATGACTAAGCTGAAAAAAATGAATGAATGAATGTCTAGGTGCTTCATCCATTCTGGACATTTATAAACAGTTAATTAATAATGACACACACACACAGGCTAGATGTATATATATACATTTATATTCATTTAAATATATAATTTATATTCATGTTGGCATTCATAATTATA